TCAATTGTGTCTTTGTAACCGTTTGATTGAATAGTGGAATGCTTTTGGATATTGTGATCATGGTTTTCTCCCTATAGTTGTATACGGTTCCCATGTTAAATCTCTTGTCTCATGGTTGATTGTTCTTATCTTGATGAAATTAATGGACTAGTTTGTCTAATTGCTAATTTGATAGATAGATAGATAGATTGATTGATTACTTAATTGCTTTTGAATTGGGCATTGAAATCTATCAATCACTTGGTAAATTTCATAGTTGACAAATCTTGAGAGAATCAGCCTATTCACCCCCTTTAGGCACAATCCCTTGGGTACTTAGGCATTTCACTAAGAAGTTATTAAACTCGCTTAGTGAATTGTATTTACTTGTTATGCCATGCAAACCACAAGAAAATCAAGAAGTGAAGTTAACAAAGCTACTAAAGTATGTAATTGATGGTTTCAAGACAAATTCACTTGGAATTGATAAGACCCATGAACAATTAAATTTTTCGGCTTAGTAAAGTCTCCAAGTTTTTCCCAACTGGATGAGAATCATGCAAACCAAGATGCTAAAAAAAATAAAAAATAAAAATAAAGAAACAGCTAAGTTTTAAAATTCGTTGGTTGCAAGCCAAATTTCCATTGGATCTATTGGAACCATTTATAATTAAGTTTTTACACTTAATAGAGTCTTATTTTATAATTATTTAGGCAAGGTATTAAACTGATTGTTTTTTTATACAATTTATGAAGTTTCATAGCCCAAGGGTGTTTTTGTAATTTTTAGATTGTTGAACATGGGTTGTAGGGACCTCTATCGTTGTCTGATTTTTGGTTTGTCTAATCACACTCAAAATTGTGTATCCACTCATCGTATTTTTGCCCCTACTTGGTAATTCTCTTATGGGTCATCATATGATCAAGCTATGTAACTAGATTCTTATTTACTAGTCTTATTTTATCTTTGATAAGTTTTGGAAATCAAAAGTGATGATTTCTAAATTAATGGTAATTTAGAAAAGTTTTCCTTTATTGATGATAAGGGGGTAGCTTAAGTTATGAACAGATTGAACAAGTAATCAACAAAGTGAAAGAGATGGTTGTTAGAGGCTCTGTTACGATTCGCGATTTTTGCAAAATCAATACAAAGCTATGGGTGAATCTATTTTGGAAGTGAATCTCTAGTGAATTGCACGATTCACAATCAATTCACGATTCGATTCACTTTTTACGATTCATGCAATTCTTGAAACTATCGTATCCGACATATTTTTAACTCTTTTTTTCTCCTTTTAGTAAAAATGACATAATGCAATTTCTAATAGCGTTTAATGCCAAAATAATCAATATATATACATGATTTGTTATTATTTTAGTGATTTTTGAGTTTTTAATATGATCCAATCAAATTCAATCAGACTCAATATGGTTTTAACCTTCCTTCTCATTTTTTCCTTTTAAAAAAATCATAATCAGTGTGTTTGGTTTTAGTTTTCTGAATTCAATTTTTTGAAAATTGAGTTTTTTGTTTTTCGTGTTTTTTTGCTTTTAGTAAATATTTTTAAAATTTTAAGCATTTTTATTTATTTTTACTTTTTTAGATGCACCTTACTTAGATGTATCTAAAAAGTAAAATATTTGTGAAAAAATATTTTTTAAAATTAATAAATATACAAAAATATGAAAAATATACTAAATTTTGTATTTTTTTATTTATATTTTTGGTATTTAGTGAATTTTTTAAAGATTTTTTTTACAAAAATTATACTTTTTAAGTATATTTATGCTTAGTGAGTCTAAAAATTAAAAAAAAAAATTGCTTAAAATATTTTTAAAAATTTAGTAAGAACAAAAGAAAATACAGAAAATAAGAAAGTAAAATTTTCTGAAAAGTGAATTCTAAAAACCGAAAACAAACAGAATGAATATATGTTCTAAAAATATTTAAGATTAAAATAACTTACACTATGAATTATCTATTGCTATTTTATTAAATTAAATATAGTTTAATATTACATGATTGAAGTCAGTTATACCTTTTAAAATGTTTTATGGTTTAAAATAAAAGATCCTAAATAATTATTTCTTATTATTTGGTCATTGTTACTTGGAAAAGTATGTATGTTTATTGTTCAAATATCAATTTCGTTGTCAAATTATTGTTACTTTAAAAATTGAGAATTTGTTATTGTTTATTATATTTTATTAAGAATGATTGATAAGAAATATCTAGAAAAGAGAAAAGGTAAGATGGTGATCTCATATAAGAACCTTTGTTAACTTATTACCTATTAAACTATGTGATCATCATTCAACATAACATTTTCATTGATCTAAGTCTAAATATTTCCTATTCATAACATATATTTAATATTCAAGTGTGTAGATATATTTTTCTAAGTAATTTAAAAAAAGTGACCGAATTTTTACGATTCACGATTCAATTCGATTCATACAAGACCATTTCGATTCACGATTTGAATCCCAATTTGACAACTATGGTTGGAGGCAAGGAATTCGATTATGTGAGGGAGAAAATTTGTGACATTCAAATGGTTACAATGCAAAGGAAGAGGGAAGCATCCTTTAGGCAGGAAAGGGAACTCAGAAGGCTTCAATACAAGGTGAATTATGTCAAGGATAAGGATGAATTTTGATTGATGGTAGTAACTTACATAAGGAGCCTGTTAGCGCATTTTTTGTCTTTATGGATGAATTAAAGAGGCAATTCAAGGACAAGCATTCGAATATCAATTTTGTTGTAGCTATTCTATTGGTAAAGCTGGTGGTGCAAACTGGAAATTGATATCAAATACCAAGATTGCTCCTTTTGTGAAGTTGGCACAATATTGATGCACTATAGTAGTTGGGAAGGATTTAGTTTATTTATTTATTTTTGGATTTGAGAAGAGGTTTTGGTTCTATCATTAGCACAGTTCTTTTTCTTCTCCTTTTTTTTTTTTTTTTGTTCTCTTTTTCTTCTTGATTGTATATGGGTTATGTCCCCTCGGCACGTTCTCTAATACAATTTTCCTGGTTGCTGGTAAAATAAAATAAAAAGAGTCTTGGTTTCTAAATAAGAAGTCAAAATCCTATCAGATTAAAAATTCCCTAAAGTTTATGTAAAAACACGTAAATGGTCATACCCAATGCACAACAAGTCTCCCCCGTACAACATGGTCTGAGAGACGTAATAAGTAGGCAGCAATACTCCCATTTTCTGTGTGGAGAGGCTGATCCTCACGACTCAAAGTTGCAACCACAAGGCTAGGGATGGATAGTACTTGCCATCGCTCTAGATCACAGCCTCTCTATATAAGATCATGTAACACTTCTAGTTCAACAGAGATTTTTAGCTTTTTGGGGATTATGTAATGAATTCCTAACCCTAGGTGTGATTTCTAAGGAATTTAGGTGTGATGTCTTTACTACTTTCTTCTTCTTTCAATTTCAGCACTTTCTAGCCTTCGAAATCCCATAACCAGATTTGAATCATCCTATCTTGAAACCCTAAATTGTTGTCTACTTAAAAAGCCCTCTCTTTCACTCCCAAAATCTTATTATTTCGTTACCCTAGACAAACTCTTAAAATATATACATATTTAACTAATCTTCAATAGACACCAAAAAAAAAAAAAATGAGCACCAAACGACTATTTTTTCTGTTGGCATACATCCGAAGGGAAATTTTTTTCATGCAATGTTAGTAAGGGGTTGTTTGGGATGTTCTAAATAAATGCACTTTTTGACTTTTTTAGAAATATGAATTAGGTTTGAAGTGATGTGGTAGAGAGGTGATATGACTTAAATAAGATGATGTGACTTAAATAGGATAGTGACTTTTTGACTTTTTTAAGGGGTGACAAACAAGGCCTAAATCCTTTCTTTCATATGATGCCTTCTTGTTCCCCATCAGGCGTATATCAGGCCCTAGCATTGAACTATGGTCCCTTTTGTGGTCAATGAACCATGCATACTAAACCTCAACAAACTTCAACCAACTCCAGCCTGAAAGATTATCCAGGATAGCAAGACCTTCATGAAATTAGCTGCAAGCCAAAATCACCAAGAATGCGCCATAGATTGTAAATCAACCATTTTGTTGCCTATCTTCCTCCAACTAATCTGCAACTCTAATGTTCTTATGCTTTCAAGGTTTTCAAGATAAACTATTTATTCAATCTCTTGTTAGATCAATCAGTGAACTGTCCAACAATACAAAAAGTTCTCCTTTGTCTTTGATTGTACCTTGAAATTTACAAGATTAGGAACCCAATTTACAAAATCCCATTTCCAATTTTCCATCACGTTCCCACTTAAGCCATTTCAGCCCCTCCATTGTGCTCCACACAAGTGCAGTGCATTAGCAAATCATGAATGATAGAAATTTTTAATCTTACGGAAAGAAATTTTTACAAGGTATTAGGTGGCATGCCTTCCCATTTGACCCAAAACTGATTAATGTGTTGATCAGTTTAATTATTGCTCAAAGTCAATTTACTGCTACCGGAAGAAAGGAAACTGTTGTGCCTATCAGCCCACGCAAAATGGTTGATCTTGCTCTTTTTTCTCCTTTTCTTTTTTTTTTTCTCTTTCAGAATTTTTTCTTCGTAAAACGGACAACCGGCATAGGTGGAGCCTTTTTCTAATCAGCAGCTCACAGTTCACTGGGATCAAAGGGCTTCTAGGGGCGGGATGCTTTGCCGATCAACTTCTATGAATTTTTTTTTTCCAATTTTATTTTATATTATTTTTCGGTGTTAGGAAGTCATGAAGCATCAAACTTATAGGCATCCATTGGTAACATCACACAGAATATACATGAATATAAACATAAATAAACATGTAAACACCAGTGGATTGACAGACTAATGAATGCATATCATCACCTCTTTAAAAAAAAGAAATAGAGGTATTTTTCAAGAACATGGATTTTATTTTATATTATTTTTCGGTGTTAGGAAGTCATGAAGCATCAAACTTATAGGCATCCATTGGTAACATCACACAGAATATACATGAATATAAACATAAATAAACATGTAAACACCAGTGGATTGACAGACTAATGAATGCATATCATCACCTCTTTAAAAAAAAGAAATAGAGGTATTTTTCCAGAAATATTAAACTAACAAAATTTTGGTGCTCTTGCATATTGGAATAGAACTTGCACGAACATGGACGAGAGGATAATTTCAATGGAATTTGGAAACAATAATCTAACAAAGTTTTGGTTCCTACATACCACGGTTCATAGGGCACACTTCCTCTGATTTTCATAGACACCAAACCTTCTTATGATTTCAACCTGAGATTTATTGTTAATTGCAATCCATATCCTATAGATATCACAAACAGCTATTACATTCTTCATCCTAAAAGTAAATATACATGAATATAATTTTATATTTCCTAAATAAACAATGGCCCGAAGTGAGGGTCCGCCATTAAACAACAGGATCAACTACTCATCGAGTATCATGACAACTAAAATTTTAAAGAAAACTTAATTGAAATGCCAACTATAATACCACACACATCATAAAGCTTCAATAACTTGTGGATGATCACATCACATGTCCCTTAAGCAGAAGATGATTGAACTTAATAACACAACAGCAGGTCTACAGCCTTCCAAAAAAAAAAAAAATACCCATAATTTACAATTGAAGGTCAAGATTCAATCATGGTGTGGCCCAACAATAATAAGTTTAAATATACACCTTGGATTTGACATTTTGGATAATTTCTTGGTCAATTTTTTCTGGGAGCATAGATTTTCCCATAACCCAAACATACCCACAAATAAAATAAAATTTAAAATTTTAATAAGTAGCATATGGACACATCTGCTGGGCCATTAATCAAACAGTTACAAAGCATCATAAGATGTGACCGTTTAGTGTAAAGCACTTCCAAAAAGTTTGGGCTCTTCACCTTTTTGTCATGTAATGGAACTAAAAATTAGATTTGATGACAACATTCAAGACCCAATTCCAAACCCAAAAACAGACATTTGAATAAACACACACACATGTATGTATTCACATGATATATATATATATATATATAGTATTTTCAAGTTGAAGATAACAAAGGAGTGTGCAGGCAATGCAAAATCAGGAGTGATTTTAAAAATCACAACGAGCATACATATATATATATATATATATGTACTTACCAGAGAGCGAGCGAGAGAGAGAGAGATGGGTTAGGTTGATAACAGTGTGAGAGCTCTGAGTCAACTCGCGGCGGGGACAGGAAGACGAACCAAACTCAGCTTACATTGGAATGTTAATTGGTAATTTTTTAGACCACAATATATATATATATATATTATTTATTAAAAATAATAATTATTATATTGAATTGATAAATTTAGTTATATAATTTTATTATATTTAAATTTAAAATAAATAATAAATATAGATTGAAATAAAAAAATATATTCTTTATAATAAATGTGATTAAATTATGTGATTTAGACAGGACTATTTAATCACTTTAAGGGACCAAAAATAAACTAGCTTTGCCTATAAATGTGATTAAAGTATGTGATTCGTGAGTTCATTTAGCAATAAACTATAATATAAATGTGATTAAATTATGTGTTTCAGATTGAGTTCATTTGGCAACATTATAAATGAGTCATTTATTAATTTTTAATCGTATCATGTTTCTTTTTTTGTTATACGTCTTTTCGTAATAAATAAAAATATCAATTTATAAATCATATTCAAAACAATCTAAGATTAAAAACATCTAACATTTCTTTCACTATTATAAGGTAAATGTTTATCAGGATGATGTATATTAAATAATTGTTTAAATTCTTAAATAGAAATGATAACTTGATATAATGTATATTCTATATTAACATATATTTTGTGCAAAGTAGTAATAACATAAATTATTGTATAGTATTTATCAATAATTTTCTTTATTAATAACTGACTTGGTTACTAATATTAATATTGTTGAGAAATTAAATTTTTTATTCTCACTCTAAAAAAATTGGTTATTTGATGTAAATATGGCCTATTTGATAATAGTTATTTTTATGTTTTTCTATTTAAGTTTATAAAAAAAAAATGAAAACAATAAATTAAAAAAAGAAGAAGAAGATAATTTCACTCATTTATAAAATAAATTTTCATCAATCTCTTTTACCCCTTCCAATTTTTATCTACAGCTCATTATCGCCATTAGCCACCCCATCGCTACCACTTCCACTAATAATCTCATTCGACAACCACGATATCTCTTTATCAGAAAACCACCTCTAGCTGGCGACAACACTTCTAGGGTGGCCTCCAACAACTACTTCCAACCACTTTTTTCGGCGATTGATGATTTCCTCAAACCATCGTCATTGGTGAGCTATACAAAAAATCACTTTTGACCACAATTTCGGTGACCAACAACCTTCTAGTAACACCTCTAGCCACCAACAATTATCTTTAGTTACCACTTCCTTCTGACAATCACCTTTGACCACCACCAACGTCAACTATCTTTGGCGGTAACTACATACTATCTTCAGCTGTTATACGTCTTTTCGTAATAAATAAAAATATCAATTTATAAATCATATTCAAAACAATCTAAGATTAAAAACATCTAACATTTCTTTCACTATTATAAGGTAAATGTTTATCAGGATGATGTATATTAAATAATTGTTTAAATTCTTAAATAGAAATGATAACTTGATATAATGTATATTCTATATTAACATATATTTTGTGCAAAGTAGTAATAACATAAATTATTGTATAGTATTTATCAATAATTTTCTTTATTAATAACTGACTTGGTTACTAATATTAATATTGTTGAGAAATTAAATTTTTTATTCTCACTCTAAAAAAATTGGTTATTTGATGCAAATATGGCCTATTTGATAATAGTTATTTTTATGTTTTTCTATTTAAGTTTATAAAAAAAAAATGAAAACAATAAATTAAAAAAAGAAGAAGAAGATAATTTCACTCATTTATAAAATAAATTTTCATCAATCTCTTTTACCCCTTCCAATTTTTATCTACAGCTCATTATCGCCATTAGCCACCCCATCGCTACCACTTCCACTAATAATCTCATTCGACAACCACGATATCTCTTTATCAGAAAACCACCTCTAGCTGGCGACAACACTTCTAGGGTGGCCTCCAACAACTACTTCCAACCACTTTTTTCGGCGATTGATGATTTCCTCAAACCATCGTCATTGGTGAGCTATACAAAAAATCACTTTTGACCACAATTTCGGTGACCAACAACTTTCTAGTAACACCTCTAGCCACCAACAATTATCTTTAGTTACCACTTCCTTTTGACAATCACCTTTGACCACCACCAACGTCAACTATCTTTGGCGGTAACTACATACTATCTTCAGCCACTACTAACCACCTTCAATCACCCCTTATTTTCAAAACAAGATTATAAAATAATTATACACCTTCATTAACAATATCTCTCATCACCCTATACTTAATGGTCAAAATAAGATTTTAAAACACATACCACAATTTTTTTTTTTGGTTAACATAACACATGTTTATTTATTTATTTTTTTTTTATTTTTTAGGGGTAAACAATAAAAAGTAAACGACGCCAAACTTTTTTCTGTTGCAAACAAACGGAAGTTAAGCCCTTCTTTCTTTTCCCTCCCTAGATTTAAAGCTACAAATTTGAACTCGGCACCTATATATATTTTTCAGTTACCGTCTACAAACAACTCTCTCTCTCTCTCTCTCTCTCTCAGAACTACTGATCACCATATTCAAGAAAGCATCAAGAAAGATGTCTAAAAGTAGAGACCCCCGTAAAGCTCTCGCTGGTCAACAATGGGGAAAGTTGGAGGCTGTGTATGAGGAGGAGGAGGAGGAGGATGAGGATGAGGAATTAACTCCTAGAGCCAGCACGTTCTTCAACGTATCACCGGACCATTTCCCTCCTCTGTCGGGTAAAATTTCCATGGAGACTGCTTCATCGTCTTCAATTCCAATGGCTGCTGAAACAGAGGAGTCCCAGAAAGTGACTGCGAAATCTTACAAAGGAAAAAATATTGATACACCCATCAAGAAACCGACTACACGCCATGATGAAATAACTATCTCTGAATCAAAATCTGGGTAAGTACTTGCTCTTCACCACGAAACTGATCAGTCTTCTTTGGGTTTTCTTTCTTGAATTTCTAGAATCTTTTATGCTTTTCTTTATACCAATGCTTCGTGTTTATATATGCACATATGAAACATGTATACTTGTGGGTTTTTTTTTTTCCTTTCCAATACCTTCCATTTTCTAGGCAACCAAACAGAGACCAGGGGTTTTCACATTTGTGATCTTTGTTTTATTATGTTTTGTAGCGATTTCAATGATAAAGAGTTACTAATTATAATACATGAACCCAACCTGAAAAACCAGGATACAGAGCAGTATCTTCATGAGTGAATCTAATAAGATAACCCAACTTTTCTTTGCTTCCCAAGAAAAAGAACAAAAAATAATTTCTCAGCAACCAAACAGAGTAACAATTAGGATGATAAAGGTCACTAGTTCTGATGAATAATATTCAAAATACAATAATTAAGTCAAGAATCACATAAACCAATTACAAAACAGACATAACTTTCTCGTGTTTGATTTCTGTATTCTTGACAGAACTCATTTCCATATTATTCAATTGATTGTAACAAGATAGCATTCAATTGTGAATTTCTGTTCTAACATTTTGTTCTGCCCCATTACAGGGACTCATCTGTGAATCCCAACCAGAATCGACAAGGCAGAGCCAAATCTGCTGAAGAATTCAAGCATAAAATCTTTTTGTTTCAGCTGCAATTGAGCCCTAGAGACGTTGTCAGGGACGGTGGTGGCCTCATCATTCCCAAGGAACAAATCGACAACCACTGCCCAGCATTAAGCATTGCTATGAGAACTGATAAGCTGGTGACACTAGTCATATTCACTGATGCTCAATACGTTGATTGGATCATGAAAATCTTCTTCGATGTTGATCGTGATGCATACATGATAATAGATGGGTGGGAAGGGTTTGTCAAAGGCCACAATTTGGAAGCCATGGATGTGATCAAGTTCTACAGACCAGTCCCCCCTGCACACGAAATGCACTTCCTTGTTGAATGTGTGAAAAGAGAGAAGACTGCTGCTGGGACTAGTCAGACCGATCAATTGGGCGGTGCAGAGAAAGATGGAAATGGCGGTGATTGCGGAAATAGAGGTGGTGATGGTGGTGGTGGAGGAGGAGGAGGAGGGAGGAGTGATGGTGGTGGCAGCGGCGGAAAGTGGAAGACAATGTGTTGTTGGATTCCGAAAAACCAGCATGGGGGCAGGGAAAAAGCAGTGATGATCCTAGAAGAAGAAGAAGCCTTGCTAATGACAGACAGTACTTGGGAGGAAATGATAGCCCTCAAATGAATCAATAACTGAACTCTCGATGAACACACATTTTTTTACTGTGATTTTCATACATATATTGGTCAGTAAGCAGTGATTTTTTTACTAGGCATATATACATATACTGTTTGGAACTTGGGAATTTGTACGGGAAAAGGAGAAGGAAAACATTTTTCCTTTCTTTGTTTTGCTTTCCCTGCCTACTACCACTACTACTTCAAATGACATTGTACTGAAACATTCTTGACAAATGATATGAAGTCATGACAATTTTGCAGAACTCTGTTAGCAACAATCCTTCAATGTCAGCAATTGGAATTCGGTTGACAATTTGATGTGTGTTTCTGTAGATCTTAGTCATAGTTCTTCATTAATCACTTCATATCTTTTATTTTCTGCTCTTGCAAAATTTTATTGATATGCATATGGGTTTTTACAAAGTGAGTTGGAATCTAATATTTGATAGGCATAGCAGGGCAGGGTACTTTCGGGTCAGGGTATATTGATCAACACAATCACAACCGTCATGGCCCATATATTTTGACAAAATTCAGGGGTTCTAAATAATTGAAACCCTTATGTTGTTAGTTATTTATTTATTTATTTATTTTTTGGGCTGGGGACCCTTATATTGTTAGGCCCCGTTTGGAGACTTACTATTTTAGCTAATTAGTAAAAAAGTTACTAAATTAGCCAAAAAGCTAACAACTCATACCAAAAAGTCAAAATTCTCTTTTCTCTCTACTTTTGCACATCTTTTCGTAATTAACCAAAAAGTCATCCCAAACATACAAGTTTTTTTTACCTATCTTTTTAGCTAAATAGTCAAAAAATTACTAAATTAGCCTGTTCCCAAACGAGACCTTAGTACAAAATAAAG